GTAGTTTGGAAACCCTTAGTCCAAGTGTAACGGAAGAGTCGGTTCAAGCTTATTTGGGGGATGGGAAAGTTTTTGAAAACCAAATTATACCCTTCCTTCGAGTATAAGATTGGAAGAAGACGTTATTGTCTGCCGAATGAGCAAATGAATGAATATTTATATTTATACATATATACATGAATCTTTAAGGGCATCGAAAATTAATGAGAAAAATGCATGCTACGTAAGTTGCCATTTTTTGCAGAGTACAGTTTTTGCATGCAACCGAAAAGAAGTTCGTTTGGAAGCCGGCATCCTGAAGCAACTGAAATATCATAGAATTATGCTGCAGGCTGACTGGTTTTAGACCACCACTTAATTAATCTTTTCGAAATGAAAACGCATTTTGGAATTTCTGTTGTCATTTCATGAGTTAGCCCACCTACTGTAAGTGCATTGAAAGTTTATCTCATCCTAAGCAAACTAGTGCACAGGTCCCCGGTGGGTCCATCTTGTGGACACTGACGAACCATCCCTTTCGCTGTACTCAAACTACTGTGTAGTAATATGCAGCCGCTTCTCCTCAGATGTAATTTTCACTTTTTGCTTTTCTCACCTGGTAGATTCCAACAGACCTTATCTGCCGATAAAGATGCTTCTCGCGGCCAGCGGCTAGTTGTTTAGTTTTGGAGCAAGCACTCAATCACTGCCCTTACCGGTCCTTAATATTAGCAGTAGCAGTCTTAGAATCGCGCTGTTCAACTTCCCAAGTGTGTAAAACATGCCGAGGTGCAGTTCATTTTGACCTTTTTTTCCTCCAGTTAGTGTCCTATCCATCAACTGGTGGGACTGTCACTAGTACATCGCATAATCCGAATAACTGTTACTAAAGTTTTTTGCCCCCCCCCCCTCCCTTATACGCCCTAAATGAATGTTTTAGTCAATTCTGAGCTCTCGTTTTATCGTCTAACAGCCGGTAATTCAGGTTCCAAAATAGCATTTTATATAGTAAAACACACGTGAGCCGAACACGCTTTCGATTGCTAGCAGTCAGTAATGACTGCTTTAATGACGGGCGATTAACATTCACGAGTAGGTAAACAGGTATGGCGGCTGAATTTCGACACAAACACGTTATTAAGCACCAGCATGCTTTGATACCGCTGCCATCGTAAGGATCTTACACGTTCAGTCTGGCATTCGGACAACCGTCTGCCTGTTCACTGATCAATACCCTGGACAAATGAGACCTCTGAGGCCTATTCGTGCAGCCTGCATCATGCACCATGGGCTGCGGAACACCGGCCGCAATGTTTTGGCTTGCTTTCCGCTTGCGGATTGCTGGGCGAAATGGCAATTGTGGATCTCGAAGGGCGAAACATCAGGTTATTCTCTACAGGGTAACATGTCGCCGACTCATTTACTCTGTGACCGGTACTCGGAAACACCCACCACATAACTTGTGTGTATTTTTCTATGTTTTTGAAATCAACGGAAACTTCACCATTGTTCCCAAAAGGAGGCATAAAAATTTGATTTATTATACTCCAGTTAGAGAAAACTGGATTCTCTTCGAATCCTATTTTCCGTTTGAAAATGTCCGTAGTAATGGGCCCCTAGCAGTGTGCGCCCGGCCATCCGCTGGCAAACCAATGCTGCTTGCAATGAGCACAAATTCATTTATATCCACTGTGACATTTTGTGTAAATTAGAAAGCCATTCATGGAAACACCGCGGTGTATACAAGCTTCGTTAAGAGAAAACGGGCGGAAGTTAGATTTAACATTTTACAAACAAGCAGACAGGTTGACAGGGGTTTTAAATCTAGGGGTTCTAGTGAAATAAATTTTAAAAAACTAATCTTTCCCATTTTCCAAATACAAAATTTGAAGATGTCGTGCTTGCAGCTAAAGAATATTTTGTGCATCTGTCTGCAGTCTTTGCTTGAATTTATACAGGCATCTGGAAACAAAGAAAATGGCGATGTTTTGCGTGTAACTCGCGCTGACGTTTGGAAGGGTGTTTAGGCAAAAGTCAACAAGATGTTTCTCGTGAATTACCATGGAATTTTTTCGTATCGTCGCCAGTTCTTAAGCCCCTACTCAGGCAGTCCCCTACATTTAAACTTTTGATCACGATCCAATTACCTTTGGTGTATAATGCGTGAGTAAGTTCATTACCTGCTTTCTTTCACACCCAGAAAGACGTACGTGCATTTGTTCGTATATGTGACTGTAACTTTACTATACTCCCAGTATAGGTGCTATTTAAAATCCAGGTACGTCTTTTGCCCATACCTCCCCAACTTCCTGACGCAAATGCAAAGGTTTCAGTTTCCTGTTGAGTAGTCCAACGTTCTCCGTGTGGTTTCTGAAAAAAAAAACTTTAAATAAAAGTTGTAAGCTAACTATGTCAGGACTGAACCTACGAGGTTGCGTCCCACTCACTAAATTCCCTGCCCTCCTTCCATAATTTGTAAACCTATTAGATTCTGATGTGCATATGATACTGGAAGAAGTACTGGCAAAGGCTAGCCAGGGTGGGCTGGCCATTTTTTGGCTCATCAGCAGCCGCCATACAGTTCTATTCAACCCAAGATTTCGATAAGCTATGTCTCGAAATGGGACTCCTTAGTCATCCAGCGTTGAGTGCAGTCCTGGCCGAAATGATCAATAAACTAGAAACAACGGTCTCAGTCTTCCTCGTCTTGGTTTCATAAACATGTGTATGTATATTTATATATTCTGCCATTTCGAGTACTTAGAAAGCAGGAGAATAAGAGACTGAGAAGTAGAAAAATAAAACGACTTGAATGATTCTGAATGCAGATTTGTATTGCTACAGAACTTCGAATGCATACTCTACTTCACCGTTAAAAATAAATCAGGATGTCCATCTTCTCAGATTAAATTCAAATGTCCTTGTCGGAAGCGACTTTTAGTCGCGCCACTGGTTTGAATTCGAGGTGCCTGGTAAGCCGGTGACAGATCGATGTGTCTGTTGCCCGTGTCGTTGTTTGAGTGCCACGTCTCCTGGTTAGATCGGCAAACAAGTTCAGACAAGAGTGTAATGACACGGGCCTGCTATTGGGCCAAAGGACGAACTGTTCCTGTTGACCAATCGCCCGTCCCATCCAGGAAAACATTTAGCTTCCAGCTATGTGGCAGTACTTGGCGAATTGGATTGCCGCTTCGTTGACAACTGTAGGAAGCGTGGCATTCAGACGATGACTCATTCAGACGGTATACCGATCTGCTACCGGCTTACCATGCGTAGCGGGAATAGATAAAAAGCATGACTGAGGATCCATTCTGACGGAGTTATTTCAATTTTAGTTTCCCATTTGTCACTGAGGATGGATTGGGGGATGTTTGAAGTGTTAAGGAAATGCAATTTCAGAATCGAAAATCGTCTTTTGCGACTACATGGGTCTCGCGTAGTTGAGATCCCGATTCAAAAATATCCATCTGTATATTAAGTGGTTCTCGCCCCATTAAATGTAAATCGAATTTAGATAAATTTTTAGGATTGCATAAAACTTTATTCAACAAATTTTCGACGGTGATTTCCCAGACAATTGTTAGACTTATAGTTAATGTACTAAAAGATCTATCTTTTAGAGCGTGTCTAAAAATCAATGCTTTTTCAACGTTTGGGTCAGTGAGTGCTTTTTCTATGACGTCTTGTTTGGGGTAGCCACCATCTCCACCATTTCTCCTTGATATTTTCTTATGCGATATCCAGCTCGATGTCCCGACTTATGCCCGACTCGTCTGTGTATGAGGTTTCAAGAAATTCTCAGGCCTTTTCGCATGGCTTGACGTCATCAACATAAGGTCTATCACAAACGTGTGTGTGCTAGACATTCAGCGAGTGCATCTCTACTTTTAACAGGTGTCGTCTCCCTTTTGCTGCCAGTTGATCTCCGTGTAAAAGCGCATATTCCAATTTAGACCACGATGTACTGCATCATAAGTATCGCAAAAAATTTGTAAGTTATTTCTTCCTACAACTATGTAGCTAACTCTGTCTCTAGGATCCACATAATGGGTACGTAAAGTAGTTATCGGTTGGTTCGCCGATAGTGGTTCGTTTCCTCTGTAGTCGCCCAGGGATTATAGGAGCATTTAAAGCAAGCAAGGACAGCATAACTTAATGGTATCAGAAAATCTCGCGACGGCTTCTAAACTGCAGCCTGTCGTTGCATAACACAAATAACAAGTGAGAAAGTTACGGAGGTTTGAATTTCGACAGAGAAAATCCATGTAAAATAGCAAGGTCAACGTATACTGCGTGTAGACTAATCAATAAAATGGTAACTTCAAAATGCAACATAGGAATGAAAATGGGAAAGCAAACATGCCGAGGGATTTCGAAAATCAAAAGGGCTCAGGTCTACCAGGGTAAGCTGAGGTTGATCACGTGGTCTAACTGTTTACATACGTCGGGGTTCTCCCGCCGTATGTAGGCTGCCTCCAGGTAGCGCAATAACCGAGTAGTTCGTGCTCGAACTAATACTCGAATAGACGTTTTGGGGTCAACCGAATGGCCATTATCAAGGAGATGTTTTGTAATAGAAGACCGTGGAAGCTTATTCTCCTGCGTTAGAAGCCATTTAGGAAGGTCTCCGTATTTAACATCTGCTGACAATATATGTACACTGCTGTCAAAAGGTGAATGCGGCTATAAGACACAGAAATCTCAGGCGATCTGGAGTAAATTGTCATGGGTAGCTGATCAGTGAGCGTCCTGGTGTTATCGCCTATTTCGTAGCCGCTTTCGAAGACATGCAAGCTGCCTTTCATGGCAAAGTCAGCCTCTATCATGTATTTCACAGACAACATGCTGATCGACCGATTTACGGAACAATAACTGTTTGGGTCTCCTACCCCCTCTCGGGTGTCATAAAGGCGGTGATCGTCTGCATCGTTTGCCAATGCGAACGACGTTGAACTTCAGCAGAAAATAAAATGTTGCACAAAACTTCGGGGTGGCATGTGCCGTCGCTCCAGGTGTTACGCATGGTCCCACCATGCTGTTTGGCAGAAGACGCTGACTTTGATAAGGATAATAATAATAATACTGATGACGACGGTGGTGGTGGTGGTGGTGGTGATGGTGGTGGTGGTGGTGGTGGTGGTGGTGGTGGTGGTGGTGGTGGTGGGAAAGAAAAGGACAAGCATGCGTGTGCAGGTGGTGACTGGTAGTTGGGCTCTGATGCTGAGGATGACATGTCATCCGATGAGTCATTGCCCACTCATTGTCATCATTTATGACCGAGGATCATGAAAGAGCCGCCAAAGCGAAGTCTAGGAATCCAGACACTCTCGTCTACGCCACCCCGTCAGGCGAATGTTTTCGCTCAATGTCATTTCCTTCCGGTGGCGGTGTATGCATCGGCGGCAGGAACATCACTTCGACAGCCGCCCTCGGAAGACACGAGATCGCGCGCCTAGAGAGCTCGACTTGATGCGTCTGTGCGCGTGTGTGCACCCGCTAGGTTGTCAGAAGCAACTGTTCCGAAGTTCATCGTTGTTGCCGCCATCATCGCCGGCGTCGGCCCCGTCAGCAGTAGCATCGTTGTCGTCACAGACGACTGCGGATGCAAAGTCGTCAGTAAATGCGAACGAGTTAGTTTTTCAGGGCACGAGAGAGAGAAGGGGGGCACAAGAGGTTCAGGAAGTGTAACCTTCGCAGATGCAAACGTAAAGCTGCCCTTCCTCTGAAAGTGATGAATACAACTAGCGGTGACTTTTCTCCAACAGGTCATCGCGCCCTCCTGGCAACGGACACTTCGGCCTGCCACCGTAGTACATGCATTTAGTTACCGGTCCCATGCTGAGGTGGATTATAATGTGAAATGACGGGGGGTCTGCGGTGTAGGTAGGTCTCAAACGCCAACAGACTAAATGAAGAGTACTCAATTTACCGACAAGACGTTAAGCACAAGCTCCTAAATCAGAAATTTCTGACAGATGTCGCTTCTGTTGTTTTGGCTCTTGGTCTAGGACTGCCTTTTGCGCGACGGCTTACATGAATGTCCGGAATATTCTACACCGCCCACTCCACAGGGGCCAATTTCTAGAAGCTTGTGGACGGTGGATTCACCGAAGTGGTGTGGGGAGCCAGTGCGCTTGTTAGTCGAACTTCCAGACTGCTGGGACAGCTTGCTGTTAGGATCAATAAAAGAAACGCAACAAACGGGTAATCTTCTACGGCCTCACCGTGCGCCTCCTTGGTCAAAAAATGGGCTGCACTATCCGCTAGGGGGGGCTCTGAGGGACTTAGCCAACCCACGAAGACGACAGACCTCCGGCTTCCTTCTAATGATTTAATTTTATTCTAAAACAAATTCCGCTATCGCCACGACGTCAGTCGCCAGGGAAATCGTTTAAAAAGAAGAGCAGAGCATTCACGTCCTATTGTGCTGAGCATTGGTATATTTCAAAAGCTGGGGTTCAATTCAGAAAAAACGTAAATGTGGACAGATTGATATGTCGCTTTAGGCAATTTCTGTCTTCAGCCAACCGCTGCTCTTTTCAGTCCTGTCTTACTCCCACAACTTGCCCATATCCTATCGAACTCACAGTCAGCCCTCAGGGTGACAGTGGAACACTCCTGTGCAGCGCCAGTGAGTGCTTGTGTAATAAGGAGTTGACCCCCTTTGTGGTCTGGTATCTACAATCACGGGATCACCTATGGCGTGGAGCCTAATAAATTATCCCAGGTAAATCCCCCACGCTCTGTCGGTCTTGCCTCGATAAGTGGCTCCTCGCCGATTGGCCATAACGGCACCTAACCCCACAATCACTTGATTCCCAAAAGTTACGCACATGTGTGAGAATGTCAGAGCTTCATTGTACTCCTTTCCTCCTTTTTGTCTGTATGCTTAAGAAGGCCTTGGTTTATTAAGTTCTGAGGGTGAACATTCCGTGCAAATTTCTTGGGCAGATGTTGGGCGCTCTGCGTCCGAACCTCCGAGTTGTTTTATTGGGTTTTGGTTCTTGGCAGGTAACCTCACTCGCCACTCATTCAAAATAAAGGGCGGCCGCTGTTCCACCTCCTCTGTTCTTTTCAGTGGGACATCAGGGAAGATGGTGTTATGCAATTTATGGAGGTGCCGCGGCTCATGAAGAATGTATTGAAATATGGCGTCTAGAGTAACTGATGGCAATGGTTTCTGGTTCCTGTGACCTTGACCCTTGGAAACTCCTCGATGCATGATTGGTCGGTTTACAAGCTGCGGCATTGGAAGTAAAGACGTTACTTATACAGATAAGATCATCTCATGTGAGTTTCAAACTTCGAATTTCCCGCACTGCGTCGTATGCCTCCTCCAGGCGCTGGCGTAAAAGCAAGTCCCCAAGTCAGGAAGAATGGACATGCTCAATGAGATCATGACAAAGGGTGTCACAATTCCGTTAGGCCAAGCTCTTCTCCATAAGCCATACGTGTCATCCAAAACAACATGGCATTTGAATTGAGTGCAAGTGATGTAGAGGGAGTCCGTGATGTTTAAAACTATTTTGCTTGGCTTTTGGAGTTGCAGCGCGTCTCAAAAATCACTAGGCTCTTTCTTTCTTCTATCATTCGAACAAACTGAAGCCATAAGCTTTTGACAACTTGGACTGCGGCATTTTTTGATTGCATATCATTCACTTGCCCACGACCCCCAAATGTCGGTTGGGGCAGCGTTGCAAAATTTTCGCCTAACAAGAAGCTTTTCAGTCCTCGACTGCAGTTCAGCATGAGTTTACGGGGGCCGTCTCACCGATTCAACACGTGACACTAATTATGCTATCTCTGGCAGGTTTCTGGAAACAGAACCTACTCTTGACGAACCCCAAAACGGAGGGCCTACTACAGCCACCACCAACATCTAACAGGTAGAGGGCACGCTGATCAATTGTTTCTGCGGTACTCACTCGTTTCGTTGTGCCTCAGGGCTCTCTCTCTCGAGCCCAACCAGCAGCCGCACAGCGGCGCATGATATATAGACAGAATGGCATTGCCGGCAAAGACAAGGGAGACTGGAATGGCCACTTCTGGCTTATTAACTGCCGTCAGCCAGTCATACTTAACCCTGAAGTGTGGAGCACCTGTGGCTCGATCCCGCGACCTATTAGTTAGAAGCCCAACGCCTCAAACTACTGGGCCACGAGCCCGTTGTCCTGTCGGTTTCGATCGGGAATATACAATGGTTGGGGGCGCTCACCGATCGTTCTTACGGAACTTACTCGTCCCGCTGTGCCTTACGGGCTCTATCTTGAGGTCAACCAGCAGCCACACAGCTGCGCATGATATAGGCAGAATGGAGTTACCGACAAAGACAAGGGAGACTGAAATTACATGATGCCAGAACCGGTGTTTGCGGCGAGTAGAACAGGAACAGGTCAGACGATATCTTTGCAGAGTATCGAGCGGCCATGGAGTGCGGTCTTCAGGGCACATCCTTCAAGTTTGTCCCCAAGCACTACGCTAACATTCAAATGGACATATGCTTTGGGAGACTGTCCAATCAATGTTCGCGTCTGCTAATTAGAAGTAATTTCTTGTGATTAGTACACACAGATACGTGCTAGAAACCATTAAACCTGTTTCGACGGCAGGGTATTTGGCTCCTAATAGGCTTCACAGTCATCTGCTGACAATTTTTACGTTGACTGCAGTTGAAAATGGTTATTAATAGTTGCACCAGAGGTTGTAAGACAAACATGACCCAAATTCCTTAAACAGTTATTGCAGCTGTAGCACCTGTTTTGTAGTTTTTTGGATTGATTTCAAGTGGAATTGTGAAGCTCATCTAGGGCAGTACTGAGGAATTCGTGTAGGAAGTGAAGTTTCATATGAATACAGGGCCTTCAAAATGCAGGGGATGAGAATGCAATCAATAAATCCCAGGCATCGTGTAAGCCAAGTAGAAAATATCGGTTGTCATGTTCAAAAATGGCATTGCTGAACTTTGGCATGAGTGACAATTTGCGTTGAATACGTATGACAATATGACTGTATTAGCCAACCTCTTTTCCATATGCCTTCCAAACCTCTAGTTTTAACAGTTTCCTTATACTACGGACGAAAATTACCAGCCTCTTCCTCTCACCGAAGGCCTAAGACATGCCATGCAAATTCTAGGAGAGCTAATTCGAGAGACACAGCTAAGTTCAAGTATAAGGTCTCATGGCAACGCCTCATGACATTACCTTCATAAAAGTGAAGGGCGCTTTGTGCTCCCAACACCTGTCAATGGGCCTACCTCAACGCAATTTAGGAAAGCGAGTTTAGTCTTTGATGTGGTATGAGCGATGCACTCAAAAGTGTGACTTTTAGTTTACACCCCTCATCCTTCCACCACCTGTCTCGCGAGCTGCCTCCATAAAGAGCAAAGTCCAACCCTTTAATTTGGGGACCTCAGTGCGAGTGTGGTTGCTCCATTTGTAGACGGGTGTTTAATGGGTACCTTCATCCGGTAGGGGCAGAAATTGGGCCGACTCTGAACATCCAGTAATTATATGTTCAGTCCCCCCCCCCTCCCTCTCCCCGTGCACACGCGATGCCATCACTGATCACCTCCACACCGTCTACGACGCCCACTGCCAGTTACTCCTTAGGCTTGTTTTAATGATAGGTGGACGGGTATGACCGTTGTGACAGATCCCATCGCGTCGCTGCCTACAGAGCTGGCCAACTGTCAGGCGGTTGGCGGGGGCCGTTTGCGTGACCCACCAGGCACTCCCAAGGGCATCAGGAGATCCGGCATCCGGGTGTGCAAGGAACAGCGCCGACGGGCAGGAGGTCTGGGCCACTAGCACACCACAGTTTCGGTTTAGCAAAATAAACTATTTCTTCATCCATGGGCGCTGTTCGTACACCTGAGAAAAGAGGTGTGTCGTAGTTATGGATACATTCGGGTTAAACGATGACAAGTTTATTCTGCCCCGCCCTTGCGCGGTTTTTTTTTACTTCAGGCGGCCGTGTCTTGATTTTAGGGATCAAATTATTCATGGCAAATATTCAACAGGAGATCGTAATAAAGATATAATTATGATAAAAGGCGTTACTCACTGGCAGTCAGACACGAGTTCCGAATCTCTTGGATTATGTGTGTCTTTCCCAGTCTCTCGTTTCATCTTTTTTAATTTACGGACCAATATTTATTTACTGTTTAGTCCGTCATTATATTGTTATGGTCATTTGACTTTAAGATGTCTGATATTCAGAGGTGTGTGGTTAAAAAATTGGAGATACTGACTATGCTTGCTTGATTAAGTCCTTTACACGAACACCAACATATGGAGTAACACGGTATTCCGGGAAGGGTTGTGACAGTCTCTCCTTAATGTGATCGTAAAATCAGGGGCTCAGTCCATCCGTGAATGAAGTGCGGTATGTGTGGAGTTAGAAACCAGGCCTAGATTCTTCATGATGGAATTCAGTGTGTTTGAAGCACCCACGAATGACGCACGTCATCCTGAATTTGCCTTACCTCTGGAATGAGGTGGATGGGAAATAATTAGTGAAATATGTGCTACTCAAGTCCTCTTTACTGTAAGTAAATCCCCGCGCAAGTAACCACAGCATCAATCTGCGCAGTGCTGGTCTGCATCGGCCATCATGGAACCCTTAGTGCAAGTGTAACGGCAAGTCGACTTCAAAATTATTCGGGAATTGGAAAGGTTTTTTGAAAACCGAATTATACCCCTCCGTCAAATATAAAATTTGAAGAAGACGTAATTTTCTTCCAGATGAGTAAAGAAAGAAATATTTTTATGCCCGTTTTCCGTTAAATATATTTAAATTTGTAAGGACACCGAATACCAATGAGAATGATTCATAATACTTAAGGCGCCATTTTTTACTCAGTGTAATTTTTTCAGGCGGCCGGAAAGAAATTCGTTTGAAAGCTGACATCCTGAAATAACCGAATTATCTAATGATTGTTCTGCGTGGTGATTAATATTACAAGCCTACTTAAGTAATCTTTTCGAGTCGAAAACGCATTTCAGAATTTCGGTTAACACTTCATGAGTTACCACATCTACTGTAGTTTGGACAAAGGCAAGAGGACATGTGTGGGGAGAGAGTTGATGATTAATGGTGGAAAGGGGAGCCGGAAGTGGTCACTTCGGCCGTGCCTGTCTTTACTCTTGACAATTCTCAAAAATATTTATGGTCCAGATACTGGACATTAGGCACTCCACGAAAATACACCGACAGGGAACAGCGTCAGGCTGATACCTGATCTCTGCACGCATGACTGTCCCCTCCCCTGAAATGTTTAACCACCATCTTCCAAACTTTGTTTTGATCAACCTTGCAGGCTGTACGGTTCCAAAGTTAACTCTGCAGCTTTGATCTAAAGCTAGTCGTAGGTCTGCGCTTTTTCGCAAGTTTTGACGGTAGCGCACGGAAATAGGTACTACCTCCGGCGTATTACAAGTGGCTTTTCGCTAAATTCCAGGTCGCCTACAATACGGATGTACCTATTCGCCTGACAAACTGCTCTCACTTATTATGCTGCTATCATAGAATGGAGCGGCCACGACAAGTGCCAGATTTTCCGGAGCGTCTTTTCTTCCTATTCACTTGTCTCTCTTTTAATATGTCGCATTATGCAGCGTGTTCCGTCGCTTTTGGAAGACCAGGAACTTGTCCCCCTTCTGACGCCGGCGATGAAAGACAACAGATTTGCAGGCCATTCTGTTAGTCACCCTCTGGTCATTTTCTGTTACTGATACGACAGCAGACTACTTCTCGCAGTGTGGGGAATGTGAACACGGTGGCAACAGAGTTGGCTTCGATTTTCAAACCTGAATGCCAGTCCAGTTGGTTAAGGTCTTATTTGTCCGCTGTATTGTTCAGGGTACAGTTGGGATCGTCTTTTGAATTGGCAAGGCAGGCTTTCCCGCACGCCACAATATCTCGATATCGGTCTATGGTTTGGGCACTGGAATATGAATTCCACCGTTGTACAGGTGGTCTAGCCCTAAATCCCAGAGCTAGGCCTAGGGGTTCCGGGAACCCCTGCATGCCTGCATGCAGATACTCATCGCCCGTTGACTCACGCATGGGAGAGGAGCCCTACGGTCAGGCTGTTACTGGGTAATCCATTATCACGGCACGTTAACGCACTCCTCAATGTAATGAGGCTGGCAGGCTTTGGGACGATTACGATGCACTAGAAAGGTTCGCGAATCGATGGGATAACCTGGTCCTCATGATAACATTTTGGTGAGGATCAGGTGAAGGACCTCAGGTATTTGTGACAGACGAAGAATACTTACTATATTAATTTTAGTGGATTTTAGTCCGACACGACCCTTTCGATTTACTGTTTCATCGTACAAGGTTTGGTTGTCTGTTGTAGACGGTCTGGTTCATTATCTACAGTGACCTCAACTCAGAGAGTTGAGAAGCGATCGTTGTAGACACTTAATGTTCGTTTTTGTAATTGTCCCGCTTCATTTCGGTTGCTTTACGTCAATAAATTAAGACTTTTCTGCCCGAAAGACGACTTTACCAATTATCTATACTTACTTTGCCATTCCCCATACATACATAGGCCTCTCCCGTAAAACCCTTATTGCCACCATTCCCGTAAGACAGGCACCTTTGGCTTGTCTTATGTGTTTGGGGTCCTGTACACAATCATTGCGGACATTTTTGTTGTGACTGGAGAACTAGGAGTCGGGCTCAGCGACTTCTTCATAACGTGGCCTTTATGACACTGTCACGCATGTGAAATTTGAGTCGAGGAACGGTGGGACGGAGGACCCCGATTAGCCGCCGGAATACCGTGAATCGTGTCGTACGGAAATGTTGTCAATAGGGTGTTTTGCGGGTGGGATAGCATGCCGGACAGTAAGCTGGTGGAAGGTAGGGAAACAGAGAAGACGATCGGTGGCAAAAACGATACTTTCGAGTTAAATGATGAACGCATACAGATTCAGTGTCTAGCTGGATAATCCATGACGCTCTCCCTTGAATGAATGCGTGACCACTGAACAACTGAGCCTACCCCCTGGAAGACATTTCTGTTACCCCCCAATTCATGCTCGGTTGATCTCCGGTTTTACTTCCTCCGATCTTGAGAACAACTGCCAGTAGTCAGTAATCGACTAGATTTCGCACATATACATACAATAGTTGGGCTAACTCATGAAATGTGAACCGAAATTCCGAAACGCGTTTTCGTTTCGAAAAGATTAACTAAGACGGGTTTTAAAAATAATCAGCTCTCAACATAATTCTATAATAATTCTGTTACCTCAGGGTGCTAGCTTTCGAACGAAACTTCCTTTCGGCAGTAAGCAAAAACTGCACTCTGTAAAAATTGACTACTTAATTAGCGTGCATTTTTCTCACTGATTTTCGATGCCCCTAAAAGTTCAATTATAAATCATAGAAAACATGCATGAAAAATTCATTCTTCCGCTCATTAGATCGAAAATTACACCTTCTTTCAATTTTATACTCGAAGGAAGAGCATAATTCGGTTTTAAAAAGTTTCCAATTGTGAGACTTTAAATACCGTGAAATGACCGCTCATAAAACGTCATGTCTCTGCATTTACTAAGGTGGCTTGTAAAGTTGACAATATGGCTCAAATCCAATGCTAAATTTTATGAACACTATATGGTCTCCTCTTAATGCCGTAGAGGAATGTGTCGAAAGGTCGAACGGTCCCGTACAGGCAGCTGGCGCAGGAGACTGCTTGTGCGACTCGCGCTGGACAGCAGTTTCTCTTCACGGCAGTTCATGTGCCCAGTCTTACGCCCGTCGATTTGACTCGGGCACTCCACCGCGTCAGACTCAGAACTCAGATCGAAGGTTCAGTTTGCTCAACAGCAGTAACCGAATATGGTTTCAAACGTTAGAAAAAAGGCTGCTTTGGAGGTGCTAGCTCAGGGGCCGTTTGGCTCTCCTTTATATTCGTGTTAGACTCCAATGTCTCCTTCTTAATCTGGCTCTTATAGCAGATCTTACCACTGTTAAATCTACGACTGTCTCAATGCAGCTTTGTACATGAGGAATTGGGAGCGAGGACTTTTGCGCCACGCTAGAAGGTATGTTGGTTTTGCAACCCCCTGCGTCCAATTTCATCTCCACTCGCCTCGGACTTGTCTTCTTAGGATGAAAAGGACAAGAGCGGAAGTAGGTGACTAAAACAAAAACAAATCCTCATCCAAGCTACTGCACTGCCTGTCTCGTGGCTTGTGCCAGCCAAATTTCCGCATCGCTTATCTGTGCCCATTCGGATATAGGCAATTTTGTAATAGTTGCAGTAAATTGCTACTTGCATGTCTCCGTATAACTGCCGAGCCTTCAATTGTCTGAACGGCAGGAGAATCGTTGCGTCAGAGTGATGTCCACAGACACAGGTGCTTGGTTTCATCTCACTTCTCCTGGCTTCTGAGTCGCTCCGAGTAGTGGGGTCTAAGAGGCGTGAACATTCGGGTTTATTTTGCAATGCGCCTCAGACATTTGTGTGATTGTTGTGTACAGGCATTACGAAGCTGCTGCTGGAAAGGAAAAACCATGTGCACCCTATTTCGTTTCTTTATCTTTTTCTAAAATAGTTAAGCAGGCCCTGAGGGATACAATAGCTGCCGCCTGCTATCTCATAATCACCTAAATATGACCGGCGACGTCGACCGTGTGCTAAACGACAATGTGAGAGCAGGCACGGCGACTTGGGCATGGGTAGTTGACTTACACAGCATCTGTCGCACTCTCTCCTCCTACTCCCCACCTGGACCCAGTGACAAGACATAGTCAGGATGACTGGAGGTGGGGAGGGCGCATGTGT